GTTGTTTACAGTTGTTGTTTTCAGAAACAATGCCGCTGTGAGCATTCTTGTCCATAAGTTCGGGGCCCTAATCCAATACGACTGGTGTCCTTATAACAAGAGGAAGGGACACGAGGGGTGCATGCACACAGATATGTATCCGTTTATAAGAGTATCTCCAGAGTATACCTAGGAGTGGAATTGCTGAGCCATGGAGTATACGGACCCTCAACTTTATAAGATGGAGATACCTTATTGCCAAGTGTTAAACCACTTTGTCTTACCCCCACCCTGCATGAGCTCCCATTACTCCTTACCCTCTCTAATACTTGGTGGTGTCAAATGTTTTAATTCTTGCCAATCTGATGGTATAAAAATCATCTCATTGAGTTTCTAATTTACATATATATGTTTCCCTGATTATTAATGAGGTTGAACATCTTTTTACAATGCTTATTGGTCAGTCATGTTGCCACTTCTGTGAAATGTTTATTCATGTCTTTTGCCCAGTTTTTATTAGAGTTATTTTTTCTTTACTCGCAGAACATCTTTATATCTTTTGTCAATTATGTGTTGCAACTATCTTCTCTCAGTTGTGGATGCTCTATTTTTTATATGGTGACTTTTATTTTTTTTTAATTTTTTTTATTTATTTATTCATGAGAGTCAGAGAGAGAGAGGGGGGCAGAGGCAGAGGGAGAAGCAGGCTCCCCGCCTAGCAGGGAGCCCGATGTGGGACTCGATCCCAGTACCCCCAGATCATGACCTGAGCCGAAGGCAGATGCTTAACCATCTGAGCCACCCAGGTGCCCCTATATGGTGACTTTTAATAAAAAGAAGTAATTATTTTTAATGTATCCAAATCTATCTTTTTGTTTATTATTTGTGCTTCTTGTATTTGAAGGAATTATTCTATACCCTGAGATTATGAAGACATTCTTTTATATGATCTTCAAAAATTTTGTTCCTCTCATGTAAATCTCTAATCACATGTGGACTCAATATTTGTGAATAGTGCAAGATAGCTACCTTAAAATATATATATAGAGAGAGAGAGATAGCTCATTGTCTCATGCACTGAAAACTCCATCCTAATAGATTACTCTTTGTTTGTTTATACATCTATGTCCCCTTACTAGCCCATGGATCCTTTATCTTATTCTGTGTGTATTCACTGTCTAGCATAGTTCCTTGCATTAACATTCAATACATATTGTTGAGTTTGCAAACATACTCTTAAACCCATAACATTATAGACTATCTGAGCTAGAAGGAACCTAAAAACATTGTCCTGTCCAGCCCCTTTATTTTACAGGTGAGGAAACGGAGGCCCAGTGAGTGAGTGATCTGTGCACTTACGAGATCACGTGGGAATTCAGTGCCTAGCCAGGGCTCAGCACACTGTTTCCTGTTTCTCCTAAAAGCCCAGGCACCTAATCCAGTTCCACTTACCATGGTCATCCAGCACCTGAACTAAGTCAGGGGCCAGTTGGCAAGGACAAAGAGGGCACTGGTATCTACCACCATGGCAAAGGATTAATGTAATTAATCCTGACAAATCAGAAAGAAAAGACCAAGAATGGTCATATTAAAAAGTGGAAGAAATACAAATGGGCAAAAAATTATTGATTCAGAAATCAAACACATGCAAGTTAGAAAGATATACTTTTGCTCCCCTCTTAGATGGTAAAGATAGAAAAGAATGCCTTAGGAAATGGTCCACTAGGAATATAAACTTCCTGAGAGCAGAGACCGTCTGTTTTGCTCACCACTGTATTCCTATCATGTGGCACAGGGCCTGGCAGATAGTTGGAGCTCAATTACTATTTAATATTAAATAAATGACTAGCACTTAGGTGCATTTACGAGATTGGGGCTTTCCTTATTGCAGGAGGAGGCAGGCAGATCCCAGTCCCACAGCCTTCCCTCTGCCACACACAACACAGGAGGAAATGCCTATTCTTCAAAAGAAGCATGGCTGGTGATGCTACAAGTTCTGAGAGCTCAGGCTCCTGAGAAGATAAACTGCTTTCAAAAAGGAAACAGGAGGGGCGCCTGGTGGCTCAGTCGTTAAGAGTCTGCCTTTGGCTCAGGTCATGATCCCAGGGTCCTGGGATTGAGCCCTGCTTCGGACTCCCTGCTCGGCAGGAAGCCTGCTTCTCCCTCTCCCACTCCCCCTGCTTGTGTTCCCTCTCTCGCTGTGTCTTTCTCTGTCAAATAAATAAATAAAATCTAAAAAAAAGGAAACAGGAAACATGTATAAAGCGAAAAATTAAGTAAATATCAGTGAAACTGTGCAGACAGAGGTTCCCGCAAGCTGTTAGTAGGAGCATAGACCTTTTCTGGACATTCTGGAAATATGTATCAAAATGCTAAATAGGTGTATCTTTTCAATTTATCTGAAAAAGACAGGACACATATACATATGCATGTTTGCTGCAGTGTTGTTCCTAGAGGAAAAAAGGATATATCCTAAGTTTTTTACTAATACATTGGTTGAATAAATCACAATATATCCGTATAGTAGAATACCATGTAAGTTATTCTTAGGGGGAAAAAAAAGGAAATAAATTAAATGCTAGGTTTTGCTTCATTTTTTAATGCAGTATCTTCTTTTGTTGTAGACAGTTATACATATATTTTTAAATATTTTACTTTTTTAAAGATTTATTAACTTGTTTTTTTAGGGGGTGAGGAGGAAGGGCAGAGGGAGAGGGAGAGAGAAACCCCAAGCAAACTCCATACCAAGCACAGAGTCGTGGCGGGGCTTGATCTCAAGCCCTGAGATCAGGACCTGAGCCAAAACCAAGAGTCGGTCGCTCAACCAAATGGGCCACTCAGGGGCCCCTTAAAGATTTTATTTTTAAGTAATCTCTACACGCAATGTTGGGCTCAAACTCACAACCCTGAGATCAAGATGCTCTTCTGACTGAGCCAGCCAGGCACCCCTTATATTACTATTATAATCAGAAAAAAATATTCCAGGAACAGTGGATCCTGAAGAATTTCAAGTTGTATCTACTTACTTTCTTTTAATTATTTATATTCTGCATAGTTCTTGAATTAAAAAATATTAAATAAGGCAGTTAAAATGAAAGTTTAAAAAAATTAACACCTTGGGCGCCTGGGTGGCTCAGTTGGTTAAGCGACTGCCTTCGGCTCAGGTCATGATCCCGGAGTCCTGGGATCGAGTCCCACATCGGGCTCCCTGCTCAGCGGGGAGTCTGCTTCTCCCTCTGACCCTATCCCCTCTCATGCTGTTTCTCTCTCTCTCCCTCTCAAATAAATAAATGAAAAATTTAAAAAAAAATTAACACCTTATAGGGAAAAGAGTAAAAAGCTATGCCAAAAACCTAGGCTTTTTTTTTTTTTTTTTTGACAAGGCTAAAAATGAAATATACTGTTAATGTGGTTCTAGTTAGCTAAAGAAAGAATTCAAACCAGCATGTTAAGAAAGACATTTTCCAGAGTTCCAAGAGGAATTTATACAAGCTTAATTTATATTCCTATTACCTGTTAGCTAACTAACTTGCACTTCCACTGAAACCTCTCTCAAATGCTGAATCCGCAGCTTTGAAAGTGCTTCTACGTGAGGATGTGGTATCATCACAGGATATTCTGGTACTTCCTTTGGGTGGGCATCAAAACACGTACCCTATGTTTTTTGCTTTTATTATTTTTAAGAAAATTTGGCATTCCCAAACATGGAAACGAAGGTTAAATTAAAATATTCAGGGACTTTAGTTTTGTTGCTATTGTTATGATTTAAATACTTAAAACATTTGCACATGGTACAAAGGGGTAGGCAGTGAAGAGTAGGTCTCTCCCCTGCTGCTGTTGAAGTTGGGGGCACTCAAGTCTTGGACTTCACTGTTTCTCTCCTTAAATGCCAAACCTCCCACAACCTTCAGCATGAACCCTTAACTGCTTTTCTTCTGAATATCTTTCTTTTCCCTTTAACTGCCTCTAGATTCTAGGTGGAGATGCTAAGGGAAGTATTAGGCAATAGAAAAAAAATTGTCTTCTTTCACGTGATAAAATTGGTATTGATAGGTAAACCAAGCTACTGACTTCTGTGGTTGAAATTTAAAACATTTCTTCAATTTTTATCAACAGTACAAATAGAACTAAATATGTCCATTAATTTAAAAAGCTAAGAAGCTACCTACACCAAATACCTGCATCTCTCTTTTTTTTTTCTTTTTAAGATTTTATTTATTTGAGAGAGAGAATATGAGCAGGGGGAGAAGGAGGGGCAGAGTGAGAAGCAGACTCCCGGGAGCCCAAATGCTGGGCAGGGAACCCGATGCAGGGCTTGATCCCAGGACCCTGGGATCATGACCTGAGCCGAAGGCAGCAGCTTAACCAACTGACCCAGGCATCTGCATCTCTCCTAATGACAAAGTGGCTTCTTCTTGTTAAAAAAAAAAAAAAAGTGGGGGACTGGGAAGGGAGAGGATAAATTTTACTTATTTGTTAGTTCCTTTGAATATACTGTCCCACAGCATGGTACAGATCTACATTACAATTATGACTTCAAAAAAGTCTTTTAAAAAGAGGTTTAGTTTCACCAGAGGGAAGTATTCATTTTTATATTTTATTTTTATTGGAAAATAGTTGAGGTATTCATTTCTAAAATGTTGTAATGTTGGCATTACTAATAGCCTTTTGCACCAAAACAAACGCTTGCCAAAGCGCTATAAATCCCAAACTACACATTCAAAACAGCAGATTTGTGTGCTCTGAGAAGACAAGGGGAAAGACGACGTTTCAATTTAGTAAAGAAGAGCCAGACCAAGGAATAAACTGTTAAGGAAGTGGCAGAGTCCAGGAGTACAAGGGGTTAAACACTCCCCACCCCCAGCTGTGGGGCCTCAATGCCTCAAAGTGTAATGCTGTTCAATGTACTGTGATTTCTACATGATTGGTCACAGCATAATTAAGTTCAAAGAGCAGAAGTTGTCCAACTCTCCTGGTCCCAGCCGCCACTACCCAACCTGACTCCCAGCTTTCTTACCTCCCAGACAATCAGCAGATTCTTTAGAGCAGAACTAATGGATGGGCTGGTCCCGGTGCCAAGCGGTCACTGACAGAAGGTACAGAGCCCACCGGCATTGGGTAAGTCGCTAGGTCAACCCTCCCCTCCACCCGTGGAGCAGCTGACCTGCCAGGCAAATTCTGGCAAAGTTCCACAGAGGTGACCGTCAGCGTGTGGGGACCGCCAGTCTTCCGAGGGCCATACCAACCTTCCCCGTTCTCAGCTGATTCCATAATCGGCAGCTGACAGGGGCCAAGGGTGGGCAGGGGCACCGTCACCGAGCTGTCGGCAGCTTGTGGAAGTGACTCTGGAAGGCAGCAGAGGTGGGTGGCACTATGGAGATAGGCAATTCACACCTCCCCGGGCTTCCTCCCACTCCCTAACTTGGAAACACAAGGTACTTTGGGATCTGGATTCAGCCTCCTGCAGCTGTTCTGCTATGGCTTATGCTTTGCCAACTGCTTCCTTGGGACTGTCCTCAAGGAGTGTTGGGTTTTAGCTTCTTCTGTCTCACTCTAGGTCACAGCGAGACATTTGGCCACACACCCAAACAGAGAGGATTTCCAGCATCTAGAGTCGTAAGTTTACAAAGCCGTAAGAACCGTGAAGATTCCGGAAAGAATGCCCCCAGGATGTCACAGCTAGCTTACAGCAGTGTTTCTCACATGGTCAGAAATACATTTGACCTGGTGACCAGTGAGTGTGAGTGTAACATAAACATACACAAGGTTAATAGATACATCTGTGTAATTGAAACGGGAATGTCATGATACAATGTTACCCTTTCCAAATGCTATGTTGTTTTCCTTTCTATTGTTGTTTTGTTAAAGCTGTTTTTGACCCACGAAATTGGTCTATGACCCACTAAAGAGTCACAACCTGTAATTTGAAAAGTACCATACACATAAGCAAAAACTCCTTGTGCTACCTCATACTGAACCATCTAACTCACTTTTAATTATGTAGTAAAATTTTCTGAAACTAAGTGTAATCACCACTCTTGGTTCAAAAGGTCTCATGTTTCATGTAAAACCCTTTTCAGAAAACAATTATTTTCCCTGCTCCTCACTCTCCGTTTCTGCATACATAGCTAGAGCGAAGCTGTTACACTGTAAGTTCTGTCACGTCAGTCCTTTGCGTGAAACCCTTCAGTGGCCCCTGGTTGCCAGTGATAATAATAGCTAACACTCAAACACGCTTACCATATGCCAGGCCCTCTTCTAAACATTTTACACGTTTCACTCATTTGTTCCTCACAGTAGCTCTAGAAGGCCAGGTTATTATCAGACCCGTCTTACAATGATGATGAGTAACCAGCACAAAGACCCGCAGCTAGTCAGAGGCAAGCTAGGATTTGAACCCGAGCCACAGTCCAGTTCGAGTCAGCACTCTTGGCCACTGGGCCTCGCTCCCCTTGGCAGAGAACAGTGCTTAAAATACTTTCCAAGCCTCATCATGCCACCCTGTGTGCTCCTGCCTCCTGACCAGTGCTGTGACCTCCCACATGCACTTCCCTATGCCTAACATGAGTCACCTCCTGCATCTGAGCTTCCCTTCAGGTCTTCCTCACTCCTTTACACGGCCTTAGATGTCCCCTCTGTGTTCCCACAGTACTCAGTTCCCTGCGCCCCTGCTCTCCCCCTCATTCTGACACTGACTCCATGCAAGGAGATAGAAGAGCAAAAGTGACCAAGTCCTTGCCCTCATGAGCTCATAGTTCCCAAAAGGGGGTGAGGGGAGAAGGTAATACATGACTATCTAGAATGTCAGCTGGTGACAGTGTTAATGAGAAAAATAAAGGAGAGTAGAGGGGATAGGGCGTGCGCAGGGCAAGGGCCATGTGCCTATTTTATATTGGGAGGGTAGGGGAAGGGCTCACTGAGGAGGTGACCTCTCAGCAGAGATCAAAGGAAGAAAGAGACAGCCATGTGGCTTTCGGGGGGAGGAATAGTCCATTAAAAGAGAACCACCAGTGCAAGCGCATCGAGTGGAGAGAGTGCATGGAGGGTTCAAGAAGAGTAAGGAGGCCAGTGTGGCTGGAACAGAGTGAGACTGGAAGAAAGTGAGTCAGAGAGGTAGGGTGCCAGATGGCTCGGGGCCTTGCAGGTCACTTTGTCTTTTACCCTGTGTGATCCACTAGAAGGCTCTGAGCAGAAGAGTAATATGTGAGCTTTCTATTCCTGCTCTAAAAATCACACAAATTTCGTGGCTTAAAACAACACAAATTGATTGTCTTACAGTTCTGGAGGTCAGGAGTTAGACACAGGTCTCTCCTGGATAAAATCAAGGTGTTGGCAGGGCAGAGCTGTGTGTCTTCTGGGGGCTCCGGGGGAGAATCTGTTCGTCCCGTTTTCTAGCTTCCAGAGACTCTCTTCATCTTCAGAGCCAGCAATGTACATTTCTGTGACCACTTTTTCTGTGGTCACATCTGCCTCTGACCACAGCCACGTCTAAGGATTCATGTGATTTAGGTTGGGCCCACCTGAATAATCCAGAATAGTCTCCACATCTCAAGGTCCTCAATCACATCTGCAAAGTCCTTTGGTAGCATATTTATAGGTTCCAGGGACTAGGACATGAACATCTTTTGGGGAAGGAGGCATTATTCTGCCTACAACAAGTGACATGATCTGTCTTCAGTTTTAAGACGATCACTCCGGGGTGGACGCAGGGAGACCAGGTAGGAAGCCATTAGGGTCATACAGATGAGATCGATGGAGTCCTGGGCCAGAGTGCTAACAGTAAGAGTGGAGAGATGAGGTCAAATTCTGGATGTCTTGTGGACGTAGAGGTGACATGATTTGCTGATGTATTGGATGTGGGATGTGAGAGGAGAAGTCAAGGATATTTCCAAGGTTGATACTCTCTCCCCTGCTTACAGTATTTAACAGAGACACAGCCTCTGGTGTTATTTGTTAAACTATCTCCCTTAATTTAGTTATTTAACTATCTCCCCTTTAGACTGAGAGTTCAAATCTGGATTGTTCACTGTTGTATTTTCACATCACTGAGTGTGTAGAACATAGCAATACAGTTCGTAATTACTGCTTATTGAAATATTACCATGTGTCAGGTGCTTTATCTTATTTAATCATTGGAACAGCCTCTATTACTACCATTATTTACTAAATGAGGGAACTGAGGCCCAGGAAGATTAAATGACTTACAGAAGTAAATAGAAGAGCCAGGATTTAAATCCACATTGAGTTAATATATGAATTCAAATTAATCAAAATAGCCTGACCACATGTGGAATGGGAGATGGAGAAAAAAAACACAGGTTTATAAATATTTTGGTTACAGCCATAGACCAATCATGTCAAGAAACAACAAAAGTTAGCGCAACTGACTTACAAATTTTTTTTTTTAAAAGATTTTATTTATATGACAGAGAGAGACAGCGAGAACAGGAACACAAGCAGGGGGAGTGGGAGAGCGAGAAGCAGGCTTCCCGCCGAGCAGGGAGCCCGACGCGGGACTCGATCCCAGTACTCTGGGATCATGACCCGAGCCGAAGGCAGACGCTTAACAACTGAGCCACCCAGGCGCCCTGACTTACAAATTCTTAAGTATAGTCAATTTAGCTGTGGTTTGGTTACTGCGATGAGTGACACAGGTGATAATTTCAGAAATGTTTTGTAACTACTCTGAAGGCGAAGAGGAGAAAAACAGATGACATCAGGCAGACCATGGTGGTACAATGAAAACTGCCCAGATCTAAGAGTAGTCTCACTTCAGTTCCAACCACTTATTAGCCAGTCTATTTTGAGGTATTTACATCATCTTTCTGAGACCATCTCGACTATAAAAAGGATATATTTTCTACCTTATTTACTTCAGAGCGTCTTGGGAGAAACTAAGTTTATTCATTTAATAAATACAGAGCATTATGTGTGCCTGGCATTGCTGTGGACACCAGCAACAGGTCATGAACAAAACAGACAAAATCCTCACCGTCGTGCAGTTTGCATTCTAGCGGAAAGGGAGACTGATAAAAATCAGAATAGACAATAGTAGATAAATGCTATAAAGTGATAAATGCTACAAAGAAAAACAAAACAGGACAGGACTTAGTGAGTGATCCAGGGAGGAAGTAACATTGGACAGAGACTTGAATAAAGAGAGATCAAGCTAGACAATAATCTGAGGAAAAGGCAGTCCAGGCCGAGGGAAGGAACAGAATTTGTGAAGTTCCTGAAGTCAGAATGATCTTGGGGTTCATATCTGAGGCACAGCAAGGAGCAAGCAGGGACAACAGTGGATGATGCTGAAGAGGTAGGCAGAGGCCCGCTCATGCAGCCTTGCAGGCGAGGGCAGAAAGCATGCATTTTATCGTGCTCATGAGAGGAAGAAAATGGACTCAAAAAATGTGGGAAGAGCAACACAAACAGTAGACAAAGGAGGTGGCACTCCTGTTGAGAGCATGGGCTCTGATATGCCTGAGTTGGAACCTTGGAAGCACCACTGTGTGTAGCCTTGGAGAAGTTAATTTCTCAGCACTTCAATTTCTCCACTTGTAAAATAGGAGTAATAATAGTGCCTACCATGTTAGAGTTGTGTTGAAGGTTAAATGAGATATTACATATATAACCCTTAGAATAATTTCTAGAACACAAGTGCTCAGTAAATGTCAGCCGTTATTACTATTAACTACCAAGCTGTGCAACAGCCTGAGTTCACTAATGCAGAGTTCTCTAATTAAGAATCTGCAATTTTTTTTTAAAGATTTTACTTGAGAGAGAGAGAGAGCGAGAGAGAGAGAGCACCAGCAAGGGAAGCAGCAGGCAGAAGGAGAAGCAGAAGACGTGGGGCTCAATCCAGGGGCTCCGGAATCATGACCCAAGCCGAAGGCAGACGCTGAGCCAACTGAGCCACCCAGGCGCCCCTACAATTTATTTTTTAAACAAAAAACTTACATATAAAGAAAAAAACCTTTTAAACAGAAAAATTGTATATTTTTTTAATATATAAATTGGTATAGAATTCAGGCCATAAATGAAATTAGCCTCCTCCAAAGTACTGGATAATACATTTTTTAAAGATTTTATTTATTTATTTGAAAAAGAGAGCGAGAGAGAGAGTGCACGAACAGTGGGGAGGGGCAGAGGCAGAGGGAGAGGGAGAAGCAGACTCCCCTCTGAGCAGGGAGCCCAACATAGGGCTCTATCCCAGGACCCTGAGATCATGACCTGAGCTGAAGGTAGATGCTTAACTGACTGGCGCCCCAGTACTGGATAATATTAAAGGGCTTAAATATAAAGGGTGTAAATAAACACACTGAAGGGCTTTACTGCCCATTGTTCTCTCCTTTAGGGGACCAGCCCTCCCTCTTCCCATGATTTTTATTGGTCCATGTAATAATGGTGAGGAGGGAAATAGGGTCCAGGTCTGCCCAGAGGCGTCCATCTATACTCTGCCCTCACTGTCCCCACCCACTCTCTGCAATGTACACCCATAGTGATTGTTCTAAGAATGAACAGCACAAGACCCAGACTGGGACAAATCAGAGTCCTCCTTCAGGTTTTTGCCAAACCGTAGGAGAAAGATGCTCTCTCTCTGACATCTCAAGCCTCTACAGATGGTGTGGACCAGGTACCAGCAGCCAAATCTATCTACCACTAGGTGGAGAGAAGGAAGCCAACACAGAAGAGCCAAAAGGTGGAGCCAAAAGGTGGAGCCACAAAGAAGTGGCTCTTCTGTGGAACCAGAGCCCTGCTGGGAATTCAGCCATGAATGTGGTTCTGTGGAACCAGAGCCCTGCAGCCCTGCTGGGAATTCAGCCATGTCTAAAGTCAGATCACCTCTGCACTTGACAGTTATGGGAGCCATAAATTCCTATTCTGCTTAAGAATTTAGTTTGTCACTTGTACCAGAAGATTCTAGATATACATACCTTCTATGAAAGACACTCTGATTTTCCAAAATCTGTAATAGCTTGTGTCTATACAACATACTTTATATAATGCTTTAAGAACCTGTTAAATT